GGGGATTTTTCTGGGATTGGCATTTCTGTATACACAGAACAATACCAACTGATGGATCACTCTCTGTTTTGAAATGGCATTTGTATCTCTTTGCTAGAGACCTTTTATTGCATTTTTGTCCTCTAACAAAGACGTATGAAGCTTGATAAACTGCATTAAAGCACAGGAGCTCTGTGCCCACGCTCTATCAGTCCCCAAACTATGTCCAAATTTTCAGTGTCATGACTCTCAACTCCAGAGGGTATCATCTGTTTTTATATAATGTCATTCTGGTTCCTGGTATTGTTAGGAAAAGAAGCCCCAACAGAAATAGTTCATATATATGGCTCAAGCAAGCACATTGTATGGATTGTGCAAGCAAGGTGAATTTAATTAATATCAACTGCAGCTTGTGCTTTCCAGACTAAAAGCACTTCCCTTTTATTTGAATTCAAATATCAAAATGCCAAGGCATGTATCTTCTATCATGGTGAGTTCCTCTGACAAAGACAAAAATTCTTCTTCAATACTTGGCACATCATTCGCCTGCCTAAAGTTGTTTGGCTGTTCTAGTTTTTGTCAGAAACTTCAAACGCTGGCATATTGGTGCAAATTTTCTTTCTAAAATCTTTTTCTTAGTGTTTCTCTAGAGAAGCAAAGGAACACACCTGTGTATGGCATATGGAAAATGGATATTACAAGGCATGTCTCATAAAAGTATGAAGGCTTACAAGTCTCCATCTCTTCAGACAGGAAGGTAACCCCAAAGAATAGGTAGCACAGGTCCCCTCTGAGGCCAATGACCTGAGATCCAGAAGGCCAATGATGTGTTTCTAGTCTAGCAGTTCTCAACCTATGGGTCGTGAGCCCTTTGGAGGTCGCAAATCAGATATCCTGCATATAAGATATTTACACCATGATTCATAACAGTAGCAAAATTAGAGTTATGAAGTAGCAATGAAATAATTTTATGGTTGGGGGTCAGCACAATGTGAAAACTGTATTAAATTGTCATAGCATTAGGAAGTTTGGGAACCACTGCCCTAGTCTGAGTACTTGTAGGCTTAAAACAAAGTAAGAGGCAATATTTCAGTTTGAACTCAAAGGTGGAGAGGAAAGAGTGTCCAAGCACAAGAACCATTAAGGCAGGACTGTGGGTAATGGGCTGTGAAGCATGGCCCTTGTCCAGACGAAGTTCAGCCTTTCTGTCTTCTGAGGACTTTCCTATGGTTTCCCAATGCTCACCCACATAAGGGAGGGCCGTCTACTTTTCTCAGTCTTCCTGTTCAAGTGGCAGTCTCCAGAAATACCCTCAAAGACACACACAGAAAGATACTGTGGAACCTTGTAGCCCAGTCACATGGCCTGTGAAATGAACCTTTACTCCTGGTAGGGGAGGACCTTTAGCCAGAAAGGACCACTGAAGCTTCCGGTTATCATGCTCTGCCCTTCAGCCATTCAGAACAAATTTGATGTCATTGAAGGTATTTTGACTGCTCCTGAACATGTATTTCAAAGAGTTTCCCATCTGTTTGAGGGTGCTAAAAATAGAATAAATAAACAGAACCCAAAGCCTGTCCTGAAGCAAGGGTTCAAGTGTAGAGATCCTTTGTTGAAAGAAGTGTAGAGATCTTTGTTAGCAGAAGAGAGAGGAAGGGGGAGTGGTATAGGAGGTCAAGGGGTTAAGTTCCAAACTACTTTATACTCTAACTCTGTTCAAACTCAAGCACTTCAAGTTCAATGAGGGAAGGAGACTTATGGAAATCATGTGGAACAAGGAACAAGCATGTGGTATCTGTGGGAGGAGCTTGAGAAACAGCAAGCTGTCCATCACAAGTGGTAGGCTGGCTCCTGGAACAGGTTCATTGTACAGAATTTCTTTAGCCCACTGGGCTCTAGAAACCAGAACTAGAGAAAACTCTTAGGCAAAGGACCCGCATGGCTGATGCCAAGTGTCAGCGAGCATAGAGTGTATAGTCAGGAGACAACCTTTCCTGGTAACACACTGCTGGCTCTCATTACCTCAAGTTAGTCTCAGCTTACCTTTTAGGTGACCCATCAGCTCCTCTGGAAAGCGCCCGTGGACTTCCTCTTTTCTGTCAGTGATAGAACCTCTGCTCACCTACAGCAGCCTATCATGTCCTGTCTACCACTTGAAGTCTGCTCATTGTGACTCCCTTTGTGATTGCTGTGAAGAAAGGGATTCTTGACCTCAGTCTTCAAGGACTGTTATGCTTCTTGTGTGTGGTAGTGCTTACTAAATGGTTACCAAAGTATCAGAAAGAATACCAGTGTCGGGTCACCAAATATCAGTAGCTTTAAAAGCTTATTCTGTAGCTGTGGGGGGGGGAGATGTACATGCGCACGCAAGTGTGCATACACCCTTCAGTTGTAAGAAGTTGGTTACTTTCCCATCCCTGTTCTTCAGATTAAGAAACTGAGGGTTATATTGTTTTAGGTCACTTTCCCAAGATTACATGCTTGTTTGTAGTTTGGCCATTTAGTGGAAAGGTTTTTTATCTATTCTATTACATAAGATGAATGGTACTGGTTACCAAGGAAAACAAAGGAACACAAGACATGGCCTTCATTCTCATAGTATTCATAAAGTGGCCATCTGGATGGCAGTGCTAGATTTGACATTTTATATAAATAATAACCAATGTTAGTGCTTGATGATGTTTCAATACCTGCTCTAGTGCTTTGCGTAGACATTATTTAACTCAGTTCTTAGAGCAAGTCCATGTAGTAGACATTGTTGTCACTCATCATGATCAAGGGACCTGAAACTCAGGAAGAATAGGCAACTTCTTCAAGATCACATGCCTAGTAAATGCGTGGGCTGAAGGGCCAGTAGGCAGGGACCTGAGTTCGAATGTCTTCAAAGTATATATTCATAAGATAGCAAAAGTAAGTCAACAAAAAAGAATACAGTTAATTCAAACTTGCATCAGATAGATGATCAGGAAAGCCTTCATGGACACCTCTTCTGATGTAGCTGCCTTTTGCTTTTCTCGGTGACACTTCTGCTCACCTGCATCAGAAAATGTGAACTGAAGTCTTGAAGGGTATAGATGATAGGAGAGGGTGATGGTTTCACCAGCAGGAATGAGGTAGATACAGGAAGTTAAAGGGAAGTACTATGGTTTATCTTCTAAAGGTCTGTGCTCTAGATTATTGGTCTTCAGGGTAATGGTACCAAGATTCTATGCCATTTAGAGATAATTAGATCATGGGGCACTACCCTAGGTAGTGTGGTCCTCCTAGGACTGAGTTAGTGCTCAGATTCTTTAGTCATAGGAGAGAGAAAGAGGGCTGTGCCTCTCCCTGCCATCTTGCTTACTCTTAACATGTGCATGTGCCTATTTTGTGATGCCATCTGCCAGATGATGACACCGCCAGTGGCTCTCAGTGGAGGCCTAAACAGATGGGAGCACACTGTCTTATAACTTTATCCTCCAAAGCTGTGAGCCAAATAAACCTCTTATATCTGTAAAGTGCTCATTCCAAGTATTTTGTTATAGCAACATAAAATAAAGTAAGAGCAATAGTACCTTGAGGAAGCAGAAAATAGTTGAGTGTTGCCGTCTGTCTAGGTGATAACACCAACACCACAGAAGTAAGGAAGCTGGCTGGAATGAGATATCTTTGGCCTTAACTATTAGAAGGAAGAGTCAGAGGGTTAAGGAGTGTGCTTGTGCTTTGTGCTTTGCACAGGGGGCTGTTACCAGAGCCTGTAGACCAGAGCAGAACTGTATTAAGATGAACTGGCAGGCACTATTAATGAAAAGAAACTGTGTCATAGGAAGCAGAAGAGAGGATCAACCGGGAAACCCCTAAGACACACAAGGCAGAGGATTAGAATTAAAGTACAGTAAACTGACTGGAGGGGAACGAACACAGGGGCATTAACTTGTGTTTAGTGTCTGGACTGCTGTAAAGAAAAATACCATCAATGGAAAGGCTTAAAAATCAGAAATTTATTTATCAAAACCTGGAAGTCCAGTATCCAGATTTCAGCAGTTCTATTGCCTGCTAGGGTCCAGTTCCTTACGGAGAGAGTGTCATCTCTCCATGTCCTTAAGGGCACAACAGAGACTGTGTCTTTCTTTGACCTCTTCCTTAAGGCAACTGATCTTATTCATTAGGGCTCTCCATTTTGGCGATGAAATCATCTTCCAAAGTTCATGACTTTGGGGAAAGGGCTCAGCATATAAATAGGTGACAAATATTCAGACCAAGGTATTTGGTATGAGGAGCATTTAAGGAGAGACGTATCATGCTCTGAGTTCAAAGGAGTAAGTACAGCCGGGTATGATGGTATGCAACTGAGGCAGGAGGATTGGGACAATTTTTACATGGTGTGATTACAGCCTGGGATACATAGAGAGACCATTTCTCAACACACATGTGCGTGCGCAAGCGCGCACACACACACACACACACAATGTGGGAAGGAGAGGGACTCACTCAGCAAGCATGTCATCAGAGTGCAGATCACATATCTTTGTCCACTTAGAAAGCAGTATTATGGGAAATGAAGGGAACTGGACAGAAATGGGACCACCAGTAACATCTGTGGAGCCGATGGTGGAAAGTCTGCCTAGCAGCAGAGCAAGCGAAACTGCTCATAGCTAAGTGCAGGAAGCAAATGTCAGTGAGTCCACTGTCCCGACACGGGAGCTCAGCGCACATACTTTCCCAGAGTGTGAAGTATATGGTATTTAAAGTTCATGGGAAACAGTTTTGAAAAATTGAGATGACCAATGTGGCCACACATATGTTGTATAAATAAAACAAATTATGCTGCTATATGTTGTTATAAAGGGGAATGTAACCCTCGGTGTTAGCTTCTGCTATGTGGGTGCACTTTCCTCAAACACAGCGTGACCCGCTGTGATGATACAGGATAAATGGCTGATGTGGTACTCGGCTTTCTACTTTCCTTTCGTTATTTGATGAATCAAACTGGAGCATTGTGGTGCTTCTTGCATTGCTCATTATCTTTCCTTTTCCAACAGATGATAACAATGAGGGAGCAGCTGACGTTGACATGAAAGAAGATGCAGGTAATAAGACCGTAATTTTATTGCTTGGGGTAAAGCCGGGAACCAATTTGATTTAGTCAGATCCTGCAATTTTTAAGGAAAGACTGAATAAGATGAAAAAGTAGAAATGTGTGTTCAACATCATAAAATAGGGGAGTGGCTATAGTAACTCTTTGGGCAAACATAGTTTCTATGTTTAGGGGTTAAATTGAACTTTGAGCTTCTTGACAGAGTAAAGGGGAAAAAATGAAAGAAAGGTACATTACTGTTGTAGCGTAACCAGCAGAGAAGTAAAGAAACCATCATCACCACGTCTTGCTACTCAAGACAACCGTTTGCTTTGCTAATACACTGGGTCTGAGAATTCCAGAGTAGAAGGCATGTACTCACCCAATTCTATACGATCTGGGCCTCCATTAGGAGCTGGCGTATTTACTTGTCTGGATGATGACTGACTCAGCTATAAGCTGAAGCCTTACTGGGGGCAATTTCCAAACTTAAACACTCTAAGTGATCTAGAAGATCTAGATGTCCTTCTAACATGGTGACCAGCTGATTTCATCTTGAAAGCATCAATGAGCCAGAGAGATGCTTCACGTTCTTAAGGTCAAGGTGTAGAAATCCCATAGTATCACTTACTCCTTCAAAATGGTTCTTCACAGCTTGTAAGGCCTAAACGGCTCCTGTGGCCCTATTTGATGAATATAATACAGCATATACCATTTTTATTATTAAGATGTATGACAACCACTCAAGAGAGACCAGAATCACAAGGAAACCTGGTGGTTAAAAATGTAAGCTCTGGCCTAAGGGAGTCGCTCACTATGTCTATAAATAGGTATCATGGATTAATAGACCCAAACACAGTTCTAGCTCTACACCATTCGTTGACTTTGAGTATCTTTCTTCAATAGTCTTTGTTCACTTCTGGGGCAACAATAGTCACCATATTGTTTCAGTTAGAAGATTAAATGAGACGATGTACCTTAACTGCTGCCCACACTGCTTGGCTCTCGGTAAAGCTTGACTATTCACTATGCTATTACTTCCTGCTGTCGTTTTCTCAACCATGGAGATTATAAGATTAAGAGGTCCATATTCCCCATTTAAACAACAACTATGCTTTTGGTATGAAATTGACCTAGCTTTCAAAATTTAAAACAGATATCTCAAAGATTTTAGTCTTGGGTGCCCTACAATTTGAGTCCAGAGCAGCCTATAAGTTACTGGCAATCTTGGTCTCAGCATCTCCAATAACCAAAGCTTCAAATTCTGGTGTGAAGGGTCTCATTAACTGAGGCTTCATTAAAGTTAACATTCTCTGCATTAGTTTAATTCTGTCCCTCTGGTGGCGATCCTTTAACTGCCTAGAGAAATAGCATCTGCTCCTGTTCTTCTTAAAAGTCCATTGGACCAATAGCCGCAGAGTTTCTCTTCTCTTCCCCAGTTTAGACATGCCTGATTTATAAGGTTCCCTTCTCTACAGGGACAATGAACTCAGCTAAAATGAGAGGTGGATAAAGAATGTGAAAGTTAGAAGCAGGAACAGAGAGAGGTAGCAGAGGAGGGACTGCAGCAGCTGCTGATGCCATGCCTCTGTTCCCTCAGCACTCATGCTTGGCTTTGAATGGAAACTTTCTAATGATAGCTTTTATGGTCCTCAGCTGAGTGGCTTTCTCTATTCATGCAGGAAAACTCAATGTACTAGTGAGTTTGTTTCTCTGGAGTAGCTCTCCAGCCAATGATGGATAAAGTACCCTTCAAACCAATGATGAATAAGGGTTAGCTTCCCAGGATTCCTGTGAAGGCGGTATAGCTCCGTAGTGTCATTGTACAAGAACATTGATTCAAGCCTCAGCAAACAGACATGCACGCACGCACACACACACACACACACACACACACACACACACACCTGAGACACATTCTAGGGTATATTGCAGTATAACCAATAGACATATATGAGCTTCAGATGTAATTTTATATTTTCTGGCACTCATATTAAAAATAAATAAATGAAATTAACTTTAGCAACATTTTATATAACACAATTATCCAAAAACATTATCAGTTCAACCTATAATCAATATAGAAATTTGGTTAGATGTCATGTCTAAGTTTTAATTCTGAACCTATGACATCCATGTATATCTCAGGTCTACATCTCAGTTCAAATTAAGTAAGCACATTTCAAGTTCTCACTGAAAAGGTTTATATAGCTGGAATATTAAACATCATGATTTTATATCCTTAACAAGAAGTCCCTAATAGAGTTTAGCCTATAATGCCCATGGTGGGGATTGTTCATGAATATATGTAGAAGTATCTATCTTCCTTCTCCTGTCTTATTTCATTAGTCCTTCTCTGATACTTTCTGAGATTAATTCTCAAATTAGCAACTTATACTCAAAACATTGTCCAGTATCTATACCTGGGAGAATGCAACCTAAGACAAGAACTCTACTTGAATTTTATGAAACAGAAAGCCCAAGATAAAATTTCTATAAAAACTTCAATTCTTATGTCCATGTAAAATGTCTTATTTTTAAAAATCTGTCCTAGATTAGCTTGAATGAGTTCGGTGCTATTCTTAGTTATTCTCGTGCATTGCCTTGCATAAAGTGTCCTTGGAGGATTCTTCAGCCACAGGGGTTCTGCCCTTTCAGCCAGGTTAATGTTCAATGAACCATTGGCCTCAGTGCCACAGCTACACATTTCTAGGCAAAGGGACTTGACTTCTTAAACAGAGCTAGCTAACTACCCAAACCATTGATTCATTTTAAAGAAATCATTGAAAGGAAGGACGTCTCTACAAGCTAGAATCAGCATTTGTAGTCTGGAGTATTCTCATTATTTCCGATTCCAGTCCCATCAGATATCCAGGGAGTTCTGCCTTCAACATCTGGTCGAGTCACACTCAATGATCCATGATGCCAAGACAGAATAGGTGTGGGGAGCTCGTTTGCATCTCCTAATGTTTGAGTGCTGAAGCCATAGGAGACTTGTGTGCTGGATGGTCCATAGCATTCCAGCTGGCCCTGCCAGACGTTGGTATGCTGGCTGGTTTTGTTATAATCTCACGATGGAGTGTATTGGTCTGCAAGATGAGTCCAGCTCTCTCCTAAGACCACTCATTTTTGCTTTCCCTCTGCCATACATTGTCTCCTTTCACAGAAGTAGGAAACCTACAGCGATGGTTAAGAATACAGTTGACCTAGTGAAGGGCTACTCGAGAGACTCAACCTGATAGACAGATGCTATTGAGTGGCAGTGAATAACAACTTCAATATCTAAAAGCACTGCCATGCTTCTCAGCTGGCTCTGTGGGTGATTTGAGTTGCAATGGGAATCTCCTGATGATTTCATAGGTATGATAATATCAGCCACACACTCTTCAAAGCTCTCCATAACAGAGCTGGAGCGAGATGGTGTGAGCTGGCTCAAGTCAGGCTTGGCATACCTCTGAGCACACCAGACTTCAACTGGGCCTTCTCTTGTGCAGATCACTGGATGTGCATGAGTTTATTTCCTACAACAACTGACAAAGAAAGACTTTGATTATGGGGGCTTCAATTAATTCTTACTTAAAAAGTAGAGTCCAAGTTTAAATCCAAGTTTGTCTTACACCAGAATTGATGCAATTTAACTTTTTGCTGTGGTCTCCAGACCCTTAGAGCAAATGGAGGCAGAAGCATCTCAAATGGAGTTGATATGTCTTCAAGGTGACATTCTCCCCCTGTAGAACTTTAATCATCCTTATTCAGGCATGCCAAATGTTCCCATGTCCTTCCATCTCAAAGGCCACACACTCTTGACTTGGACCAGTCTGAGGCAGCAGGGCTCCACCTATATCAACCATCACAGTGCTGCTCACCTAGAGCAGAGGAGGAAAGAGAGTTCAGTCTCATAGTCAAACTCCAGATTCATGACTTTGTTAGAAACAGGCAGTCTAAAATAGTACACATCAAGAAAGCTTAGGACATTGTTTGCAAAGAGGAACAAAATCAGCTTTTCCTTCAGCTCTTTTTAGACCAACAGGGAGTGTGATGGTTGATATAGGTGGAGCCTCAGGTAGGAACCTTTGAACAGAGGTCATGTTTATTAGTGACTTTTATTTGAACACCCCATGGGCATCAGGAAACAATCAAAGGCTCATGAATTTCACACAGGCCTTTCTATGCAACAAGCTTCCATGCCCATTGAACATAAATGTAGGCAAACCGATGTCTTTGAAAACTTCACCTAGACCCTAAGAATTTCTGTTAAGGTGGGAAATCACAAACTTGGCAGGCAATCAACAAAGCCTTCAGGTGTGAGAAACCCTGACTTGAAGTTGCATTTTCATATCTGGAGGCTCTTGCCTAGCCCCAGAACAGCACTCTTCAGGGTACAATGGGACTAGATCTAATGGTGAGATCACAATGCCTCTTTGCCTGGTCCGTGACTCTCAGTGGACCTGATATTTGTATGCAATAAGCTGTTCCAAAGACCCCACTTCTGGTTTTGCTGAACCATTCTAAAGCATCAGCATGCATCTCATACCTGTGACAGAAGTCGGCAAGCTGCTAAGGCAGTCACTGGCAATGTTTTTCACCCGGGCCTTGGTAATAACCTTAGCCATGACTGACCTGTGACCACTTAAAACTTAGCTCTTATGCCCCACGCCTTTGTAGTCTGTGACACCAGAATTTTTAATAGCAAACGTGGACATTTTTTATTGTTGTTCTGGTTCTTTCTTAATAGACAAAAGAGGAAAGGGGAGAAATGAGTTAACTGCAGTCCTGTAGTGTGATTTTAGAATTTAGGCATGAGGCAACAGCTGCTAAGAGAATGAGTTAGGCATAGAGCTGTTATATCTTGGACTTAAAGAAAGGACCAGTGAAGCAAAAAATAAAACAGACTCTTTTTTATGTCTCATTGTACTTCTCAGCACCAAGGATACAGGAGGGATGTGAAAAAAAGAAACACCCTTTTCTTGTAAAACATTGAGTTAGTTGTATGTGTACAATAAAGACACAAATGAGGGAGCAAGATAATTCCAGATACAAGTGATGTGGTTTTGAAAAACTTTGCTTTTAGGCCCTTTGCATTGTGTAGTCAGGGAAAGCCTCGCCCACCTCCTGCCTCCGGTGTGTGTGTGGGCGGGGGGGGGGGAGCAGTGGGTAAATTTAGTCTGGAAAAATAAAAAGAGTAAAAAGAAAACCCCAAAACTAGGCAGAAATGTACTAGAGGCACTGGAGTGGGAGACAGTAGCAAAGTCCTGGGGCAAAAATCAGTCTGTGGTTCAAAAAAATGAAAGTAAGAAGGTGGATTAGAGAGATGGCTCCGCAGTTATGAGCACTGCATCATCTTCCAGGGGACCCAGATTCTATTCCCAGCACCCATATGGTAGCTCATGGCTACCTGTATCTCCAATTCCAGAAGTTCCAACACCCTCATCTGGTCTCTGTGGACACTAGCTATGTGGTGCATAAACATACATGCATACAAAACATACACACATAGAAAATAAAAGCAAAGAAGGAATTGAAGAAAAACTTGCAAGGCAAATGGGCCATGAAACTACAGACATCAACAAAGCCAAATGGCACACTGTGCTCTGCGGTGGAAGAGGGTGAGCACCCAGATCTGATTGATGTTTGAAAAGATCACGGTGTTCAGCAGTGGAAGCGCGGTCCTTAGAAGGGAAGATTAGAAGGCTAGCTGTAGGAACTGAGAAACAGCAAGAAGTGCTGCTGATGCGGGTGCCAGGACTATTCATAACAGACGAGTCTAGGGTTTCCTAGAGCAAAGATGGGATGATCAGCTGGCTTGGGAACACAGGTGAGCGTAAGTTTGAATGGCGATACCTAGGTTTTAGTTTGAACTGGTTGGTAGATTGTATGCAACACCATTCTTCTAGACATGGAGTACCACAGAGAGGTTTGTACACATGAAGGGTAGTTCTGATTGGTTTCAGATTTGAGATTCCTGATGTGGGTTGAGTAAAGGGAAACCATTCGGACTGAGAAAGTAGGACATATAAGTCCCAGTCTTGTATGGGGTAGAAATGAGGGTGACTTTGGGACTGGTAACCTGTGAAGAAGGCCAGCTGATAGTGATTCTAACCTTAGTTTAGGAACTAGTCAGCCCACAAAGAATACTATGATCCCATAAAGTATATTTTGTGGGTTCTGCATTGACAGAAACTAGCAGGAAGATAGAGTATTGACAAGTTTATTGGTGTAAGCGAGAACATTTGGTCTTAGGGTGCAGGAAAGGTTGTTAACTGGTCGAGAATAGAATGGAAAAGCAAACAGAAGACATCCAGACATCCAACCCCAAGCCAAAAATGTGAGACAACAAAGGCAGAAGACACCAACATTGAGCTCAGCCGAAGGATTAAGTAGAAACTGTAACTCAAGGCCAGCAAACGTTCTAATCAGATGGGGTGGATGGAGAGCTATTTCTCCAGACGCCCTCCAGTCTTTCCTAGTCCCTGTGGGTAGACTTAAGAAAATGTTGAAAAAATTGATAAAAACTACAGATTAGTTGGAGACATAGGAGAGTGCTCGTTAGATTCTAGAATACAAAAGAAGTCCGTTCAGTAGAAGCAGAGCCTTTCCCAGCCCCAGGTACCTTAAAAGTGAGGTGACATTGTGTTTCATTTCTCTGACCTTTGAGGACTAAGATGAAAGATGTAATGGCATCTTCTAAGCCTTGAAATTTAGAGCGGAGTCCTTTGGACTGTTCTTATGGAGAATTACCCAATTTTTAAGATAGCACTTGTGTGCGATTTGGCATTTGCATGAATCGTTGATGATGTCTACAGAAAAATATTGGAGCTTAAGTTTAAGTCTATGTAGTAGGATGGAGAATACAAGTTCCTTGCCAAGATTTAGTTCAGCCACAATGACAGATGGATCTGTAGTTAAGGCTCAGTAAGTGTGTGCATGTGGTGGGTGAGATTACTACTAAGAAGAAAAAGATATTTAAAATTTAACACGTTCTGGACATTACTGGTAAATATTAAAAAAGAATTATTAAATTTGTACTTCCAGAAGGGCTTGAGCCTAAAGGCCTTTCCCCACCTCACAAGAAGAGCAAAGCAAAGAAACCAGAAAGTTCAAAGGACTCCAGTGAAGGTAAGTCCTGCTTCCTCTCAAAACTTATGCCATGGAGACAAACTTTCATTTCCTTTGTAAAGTATATGCATACCTTTCGCATTTAGATTTTTTTGTTTTGTTTTTGTTCTGTTGCTTCAAGGCAGGGTTCCTCTGTAGCTTTGGAGCCTTTCCTGGAACTAGACAACCAGACTGGCCTCAAACTCACAGAGATCCACCTGCCTCTGTGTCCCTAGTGCTGGGATTAAAGGCGTATGCCACCACTGCCCGGTGACACATATTCTTAAGGGTTACAAAATGACAAAGAACAATCCTATTTTGCTTTCTTTATATGTGCAATAACTTTTGTGAATATGAAGTCAGATTTGTTGTTGCTAAAGAAAAAAACATGTTTTAAAAAGTCATGTTCTTTACATGGCATAGTTTCATTTCTATAAGGTGAAATTATGTGAGTTGTGTTAAAACTAAGAAGTCCTCAGACCATGAGGAACTTAGTGTCAAGGCCTATACATGACGAACAGTTCTCTGGCTATTGTTTTATTGGTATCATTTGTTTTTCACATGAACATGTTTTTAGGGTTCCCAGAAGCAAACCTCAGCAATGATGCTGCAAACATCTCTCTTCTATTTTTTTAGTGGTCAGTGGGGAAGTCCTGTTGGGCTCAGGCTTCAGAAGGAATGATGCTGTCTCTGAGGACAGCCTACAATCATGCAAACTGTCTTTGAAAGGCGAATGTGGGTGTGTTTTTGGTGTGTAGCTTCTGGACTGCAGAATACATACATCTCCTGCTTGCTTACTTGGAGTTCCACTTTGTGCTTCGTGAGAAAATAGTCTGGTAGTATCGTTGCTGTTTTTATATTTATATATATTAAAATTAAAAAGAAGAAGGAGTGGTTAGCTGGTTAGCAGCCGTCTGGCATTCTGTTAGTGATGACTGTCACTTTTATGACTATCTCAGTTACTAAACACTGTCCTCACTCACTGAAATGTGTTTAGATGGTTAGAACAATTTGCAGAACTCGTAGAATCATGGTGAAGGTCGAAGGCTCTGCCTAGGACCAGATGGCAAGCCTTGCTAGTTTCTGAGGAGGAAACTAGTGAGTGCACCCTTCTTGGTGTGATTGCTGCACCTTTTCCTACGGGATCTCTGAAGGTCAAACTTGTGAAGACTTAGGAGCAAAACCCTAGTTGTTTTTCCCTGGAAAGGCTACCCCTTACAAGATGGTTGCCAACCAATGCATTGTTTCCATTGAAGGTGGTTTTCCAGGGCTGGGGTCTACTGTCAATACAAATGTAGACATGCTGAGACTTATTCTTCCACGCTACTCCTTGTGACTCTTTAAAACGACTTTTACTTCCTCCTCAAATTGCTTTGTTGGGGAAACACCATCCTCTCATCCTGGTATGACTCAGTGGTCCAATTTCACCCCCTCCAAACATGTGATCTCGCAAAATTACACATGTAGATTCTCTCTGACTTTATTGTCTGGGAAATGTAGTTAATTTGATTTTGTTTTCACTTCTTTTTTTTTTTTTTTTCTGAATAAAAAGTAGAACCTGGCAGCTATGCTATGACATTTCAAAGCTAGTTCCCTCAAATTGTACCTGTTCTCTGATGGTTGCGAAGTGATTTCCCACTTAGCTGTTGTTTTCCTTCACTGTCTCTCCCCTCTGAGTGCTTCACAAGGTGCGCTGTGCCTTTGTATTCTCTGGTTTCAATACGATGTAGTTAGGTGTACAATTCTTTTTATTCCTTTGACATTTTCTGACTTTCTCAGGATGGGGGGTCAGCGTCTTTTGCTTGTTTTAAAACTCCACACTCTTTTTCCTCACCAAATGAATACCAAAATAATATCTTATTACTGCTGTCTATTATTCCTCATTACTTTCTGAATTTTAACCATGTTGTGCCCCCCATAAACACACACACACACATTCATACACACACACATATGCATTCATACACATGCACACACAAACGCACACTCCCTTTTTCTTGTCTCTTTTTCAGAAGCCTTCTGTTTATTTTTTTCAAGTCTGTTATTAAGTTTTGTAATTTTCTTTCCAATACTACTCAACGTGATGTTTAGTTCACTTCTCACTTCAGTAGCCCCCTGCTGTTTTTTTCTTTTTAAAAAGTTTTATTTACAAATACATTTAGTCATTCTTTAGTTCAACAGTCACTTAACTTACAACCTGTGTCTGGTTTCACTGCGCATGTCTGCTTTTATGTCTGTTTTCATTGCACATGTCTGCTTCTGCGACCTTTGCTTCTGTAAGGTTGAGCTTATGTTAATTTTCGTTTTCAGGTTCTTCTTGGCATTTTCTCGGACTTTCATTTGTAGGGACTTTTGTAGTCGGCTTATGAGCTCCTTCATACATACATCTGGCTCTTTGAAATTTCTGAAGATACCAGTTTAGGAAGACCTTAAATACCTATCAGACTTACCATTTTCTTTGCTAATGTTTATACACAAGCAATTGCGTTGACTCCATAAAATGTTAAAACTGGCAGGAGAAAATTTTCCACTCTACTCATGACCAAGCATGACCTCTCTATGCCTTACATTACTGAGACTCAAGTCGTCCTCAGAGTGGACTTTAATCTGCACGCCACATCCCCAGGGGATATTTTTGACGCGTACACGCTAGAACATCATCCCAAGTCAGCAGGTTCAGAGACCCGAGCTGGGGTGAGGCATCGTGCTATTTGTAACCTTCCAGGCCATTCAGATGTGTGTTAGCGCTTCTAGTAGCGCCATTCTCCAGTGTGGACCATCGGGTTAGAAGATGCCTCCACAGATTTACATATAACTAAATTCAAATTCCTTCTGTGATGATGTCGAAGAGGAACCTTTGCTACAATGTCAGTTCAGTTATGTAGTCAGGAGTCATATAAAAACATTAATAGAAAGATGAATGCTAGATAAAATAGCACAGACATACTAGTAAAAATATAAATGCAGGCTTATCTATAAATATACACACACATATTTTCTGGTACACACAGCGAAATAGGTGTATGTGTGTGTGTGTGTGCACGCATGTGTGTGTGTGTGTGTAATTTACCCAGGAAATTATCTTGGCAGAGGGGAAGACTTTTTAAAAAACATAAAAGATTATATGTAATATTGCAGCCTATTTGTATTATATACACAATTTATAAAATAAAAGCATATTTTTCTCTGTAAAAATTACTAGGCCGATGTCACTTTTCTGTCATATTTTTGCCAAATGCCCTATTATTATGACGTCTGCTCAGCAGTTGCCTCTGCAGGGAAATCCATCTGCAAGTGTGCATGGAATGCTTGCTCTTCAGGAACCCTCGCTCTTGTGACCCTAACTCAAACCGCACTATAGTGCACATTAAAATGTGAATAATCTCTTTAGTCAGACAAAATTCTTTGTGGAAACATTTTTTGGAAATAAGAAAGTATGATATTAGTTTGAATATTCTGTAAGCATTAGAGTTATTAACTTTTACTGAGCTAAATTTTTTTCTGATTCCATGAACATGTACCTCATCTTTCCTGAGAGGCAGAATTTTCTCTCCGTTCCATCCTCTCCTCTGTGTATTAGAGTATTGTGTGACATGCTGTTTGCTGAGTGGCTGGGTGGAAGGGGCATTCTATCGCTCGGAATGCCATGCAGTAGTTCATGCATTATATTCATAAGCATGATCTTTAATTTAATTTCTTTGACAAGTGCAGTGAAGGGTAAAATCAGGCAGTCATAATTCTGACTTTGCCATCACTCAAAGGAGCACAGTGATTGACCAGCTTTGAAGGAGCAGAAATGAGGACGACAGCTTTCTCGGGAAGAAAAGCCCGGTGTCGCCCTGTAGACTTTAAGATACGAAGCGTTTAAACAAACTAAATTTCTCTGGCAAAAATTACAATTCAGTAAATGCTGACCCCGCCATCTTGCTTTCAATTTGCTCTCTGTTACCCATGATCTGGGAGCACTTGGAGCTTTCCTATGTCGGCAGAAACAGCCGGCAATCCATTTGGTTTATGGCTGTGTCCTCCACAGTTCCCCATTCCGTGCAGCTGTGGGCATGATGCAGGATTAGCATTCAGATTCCAAATCATTTTTAGAAAACGTCGGCATTGTGATAATCTCTATGGTGTGAAAGCCAAGCTTGCCAGGGGAGGGGAGCCACGAGTCCTGTTTGAACAGGAGGCTTTCCAGTTTTATTTGTCTATTTTCAGTGTTGTTTGTTAACCCCACACCCCCTCATGTTTGGAGGTATCCCACGTAGGGTGATAAGATATCTGTATTGTCCCTGCTATACATAAACAGCTAAGTAAAATATGGGCAGACCTTCTGCCTTTTCAAATTCTGGTTCCCTGTTGGGGAAGTTTTTCTAAACTAGGGCTTGTGTTCCCATGCACTACAGTGGAAGGAATAACCCTGCTTTTTGTGATCACAGGCAGACTTCAACAAGATGCTCTATAGAAATTACCCAGCATAGTGCATTGAAGCGTATTGAATATCAAACAAGGAAAGTTGCCTCCCACAAAAAGTCACTCATTTTATTTATTAATCCTTGAGGCTCTTTTTAATATGATCAAAATATTTTGTAACTAATGTTTAGAATGGATGGTCTCAGTCTCCTATGTCAATGGCTTTCTCTCATATTTCTCTTGAGTTCATTCACTCAGCACTCCCCTCCCCCATGCCACTGCATTAGTTGAAAATAAACCTCCCAGCCTGTTCTCTCCTTCAGATCTTTCCTGCAAATCATGCTTCCCAAGAAAGCTCTTTAGCTGAAAGTTTTCACAAGTGCACAGAACAGTACTTTTTTTCTACTTTCACTTACTACCTCTAAAACTTCAAGGAGGGCACAGACTAGGTCAGGGAAGGAAGGACAAGCTGTCTAGGGTTATGGCTATTCAATCAGACCTTGCTGTTGAGACAGTCGCCGTTAACCCTTCAGCTCTCCAGTTTCTATAAGATGGGGGAAACAAGGCTCTCTCCTCTGCCTCAGTCCTGTTCTCTATGTGTTTCTCAAGGGTGG